TGCGATGCGGTGATGGCTCTAAGGAAGTTTGCGTCGTCCTTTACTGACAACAAAGGAGTGTGTTTGGCAATCTCTCTGGATATCAAGAACGCATTTAATTTTTTTCCATGGTCGGCTATTAGAGATGCTACTGTAACTTGGAGGCTTCTTGAATATATGAGATGTATCATTGCGGATTACTTGAGGAATAGGTTTATCACATATGGAGATGTGAGTGGAAAGATCCATAAGCGGAGGGTCTCCTGTGGAGTCCCCCAGGGGTCGGTGTTGGGCCTTCTCTTGTGGAATCTGACTTATGATCAGGTCCTGAAATATCAGGTTCCTCTGTCTTGTCGTGTTTTTTGTTACGCCGACGACACGTTGGTGGCAGCAGGTGGGACTGATATAGATCGGGCAATCCGGGTTGCTAACCGAGGGCTTGAGGTCGTTGGTCGAGCCATAGCTGAACTAGGACTAATGATTGCGCCGAATAAAACAGATGCTGTACTATTCCGCCATTGTTGGATGAAATTGCGGCCTGCGTTGGTAAACCTGAATGGAAATAATATAGTAGTGAGTAATAGAATTACGTACTTGGGTTTCATACTAGACGATAGATGGACCTTCAAAGAGCATTTTCAAAGTATGGTAAATAAAAGACAGAAAATTGTAAGTGCACTGGCACGCATCATGCCCAACTTAGGTGGTCCTTTAGAAAGAAGACGGCGGCTGTATTTGAATGTCCTGCAAGCAGTTATATTGTATGGAGCCCCTGTATGGGCTGGAGAACTGATGAAAAATAGAAGGGCGATAGCACGGTGTCACGCTGTGCAAAGATTAATTGCGAACCGTGTTATATGTGGTTACCGCACGGTCTCGGCAGATGTAGCCCAACTACTGGCTAGGGCTCTCCCTTTGGAGCTGCTCGCAGAAGAACGAGCAGCAGTTTTCAGAAGATCTCGTAGCGATGCTTTGCTAGAATACGGGCGGCTGAAAATTGAAGAAATTAAAAACACTAGAATTAGGTGGCTTGAACAACTCTGGGCTTCTCAGGTGCCTGGAAGGGGTACAAAAAGTTTACTACTACCAGTGTTTAAACAATGGATGACAAGAAAGCATGGCTACCTGAATTTCCATTTAACACAAATGCTGACAGGCCATGGATGCTTTAATGCTTTTTTATATAGGATTGGAAGGTCGGTTTCAGACAGATGCTCCCACTGCAGACTAGAAGTTGACACTCTGAGTCATACATGGGAGGAATGTGAATGTTGGAAGGAGGAACGTGAATTATTAAGCATAAAAATTGGCCTAAATTGAGTCACGATAATGGCTGCAGTTGAGGCGATGGTAAATGAACAAGATAAGTGGAGTGCAGTGTCACTTTTTGCTAGAAGAATTATGATGCAAAAAGAACAAGCAGAGAGAGAACGACAAGGGCAGACTGCTCTAAGAAGAGGAAGTTCGGCAACAGCACCGTAATGGCATAAGCTAGTATATATTTATGGCTGTTTATTGTTCACATTAGGAACGGACTAAGGGAGCAAGTGTTTGAGGTTTAAAGGGTATATGTCTCCCCCTACGTCTCACTCCTCTGCTCCCATCTTGGCTTGTCGGCGTTGTCATGAGGGGAATGACAACGACCATTGTACGCAACCAAAGTGGTATATATGGAGAAGGTTTTTCAACCCTTCTCTCGGAAATAGATATTATCCCTTGTATGGGATGGCGCATGTGCAAGGCGGGGGCTAACAAGTAATGCCTTTTGGCGTCCGCTAGTCCTCCGCTCAGTTGGCGCGACTGGGGACATCGAGGGGTTTTAGCGAGTAGGCTGGTCCATCTTTGGGGGACTCTCAGAGTACTCCGGACTCCCCGTCTGGGTGGTGGTGGAGGAGAATTCCCCCGATAGGGCAAGGGCCTCGTCTCCTCCCCGGCGGGAAGATGGGAAATGGCTGGGAGATGCTTGGGTGGACCAGTTAGTCTCGCATATCCTTCGTCCAGTTCCCCTGATGGGCGGAGGAATCCATAAAAGATTTCCCCTCGTTAAAAAAAAAAAAAAAAAAGGTTATAGTTAAGCCCCGGGCGAGTTCCCACCACCTTGACGTGGTACCCGGGCTTGGGAGCGGTGAGGTGAGGGGGCTATACTGGCGGGGACTCTTTTGAGTCCCTGGCAGGGTCACCCATGCCAGGAAGGCCCTTCACTGAGCTCCCGTACTAAGAGTGGGAATAGAGGAAGGAAAACCTCGAACAAAAACCCGGAATTCTCAGCTCCGTTAGTCTCCAAAGACGAGGGCAACTGGGATAGGGAAGAAAACCCTGACTTCAAATCCGGGGACGTCCGACCCCGTCAGCCACGGTGCAGTCGGAATAGGGGAGTCAACCCTGATTTCAAATCCGGGCGTGCGGGCTCGTTACCCCACGTGGGGGAGCCGCAATAGGGGAAAGAAAACCTCAAACAAGATACCCGGGTAGGACGGACTGGTAAGCTTTGGGCGGCAATCGTCCTAGGTGACGGATACAGTAAGTTTAAAACCACCATGATCACACTTATGACATGGACAAAACAGAGGAGACAAACTTAGTGCGACAGGGCGTATCGGAACGTCCAGTGGCCGGCGTAGGGGGGGTCCTTGACCCTGCTCCCCCTATGTCGTCATCCAACGAGGGGCCGACCGAAGTGTTGCCAGCGGGCACTTCGAGTTATATTGCTACCGCTGATGACTTAGCTGGTGGAGATAGCGCGCCTTCCACGGTGGGAGCCACTTCTCTCGCAATAATCGAGAGCCAAGAGCGCGTGAAGAATTGGGGACCCATATGTGAGCTGGCCTCACAGACCACCGGTACTCAGGACGATCGTGAGTACCTGACTACACGATCCCGCAGCACGTTGTTCAGCCCGGACCAGTCGGCTGACTCCGCTCCGTCTGACATGGACGTCGAGGCTGACAAGGTGTCCGATCCTCCCGCAAGGTCCATATGTGCGGCGTTCTTGAGGGCACCCAAGTTTGTGGTCCCCCCTCCCAAGTCACCAGTACTTGGGATTGATAAGGCCGGTAATTCTCGTCCACCAGCTGCGAAGAATGTAGCCAAAAAGACTGCGGCTAAGCCGGCGCGTAAGCGCAAGATCGCACGCGTCGCCTCCGCGACTACATCTGAGGAAGACGACCCTCGGGCTCCGCTGGTCCCTGCCGCCCCTCCGTCCAAATATGCAAGAAAGGCCGACCAGAGGAAAGTGAAGGAGATCGTGCAATCCATGCAGGATTATGATCAGCAACCGCCCAGCGTGGTATATGCCGATCTCATGGAGTGGCTCAAAGAAATCGAGCAGATGCGCATCAAGTCCGCCAATTCCCTTCAGGGTAAGATCAGCGGGCAGATGCGTGACCGGATCGTACGATCGAAGCAGGCAGTGTTGGTCCTCTCAGGGCGGGAAAACGCTGCCTACACAAAGATGAACGAGCAGCAACTACAGCTGCGGATCGATAGCCTTGAGAAGGAAGTTGAGCGTCTCCACACTGTCAAGGCTGAGTGTCGTCGCCTCCAGAAGTTGGAAACCGAGGTGAAGCACTTGCGGCTGCAGGTGCAACACGGACTGAGGGCTCCCACGCCGCCCCTAGTCACGCATGCAAAATTAGAACCCCCTATCTTGAATTTTAAGNATTTTGGTTTTTAACAAAAAAACTTTTTTGGAAAAATTCCAAAAACTTGAGATTTTAAAGAAATGCTTCAGACAAAAGTTGTAGATCTCGACGAGGTTTGTCGAAAAGGTTCTATGACTCAACACTTTATCTTTAATAGTTTTGAAGTTATGAATTTTTGAATAGTAAAGACTGCGGCGTGTGGACGTCATAGTAGGTTGCGGGGGCTTCGCCCTCGGCAAGAAGTAAGTTATGTGGGTTTGGGGGCGGAGCCCCCGATTGGGGGTTTGGAAGCAAGGCCCCCAAAAAGAGGGTTCTAAGGGGGCAAAGCCCCCTGGTGGAGGAGGTTGAAGGGGCTTTGCCCCTCTACCTAGATAAAACAACATAAAAATAAAAAAAAAACAACCAACAACAAGAACAAAAAGTGGAAATAAAAAAAATATGTGGGTTTTGTTATAAGTTACAGTAGTATTCTTGGCAATCGTAGAGACTGGTGTTTGTTGGCGAGAAAAATAAAGAAAATGAGAAAACCGGAGTCCCGTTTGCCGTTTACGCTTAAGACGTCGTCTGTCATCAACGTTGCCCGACTTGTACCAGCGAGGAGGTGCGGGGTCGGAACGCAAAGGCGTTTTTACAAGTCAGTTTGTTTTTTTTTGTTTTTTTTTGTT